CTCCCCAGGGGATCAGGCCTAAGCTGGCAGTCAGACATCCCTCTGGCAGCCCAGGAGCCCTCCTGGGATGTCCACTTGCCAGCGGGGAGCGGGCCTAAGCTGCAGTCGGACATCCTTAGTACTGCTGAGGAGGCGGGAGAGGCTCCCACTACCACCGCTTTGCTAGTAGCAGCCGTCCTGGCTTGTGGCTAAGCAGAGCTCCCCCTGTGGGAGCTTAATGACCGCCAGGGGGCAGGTCCTGCATTGAGCGTCTGCCCCCTGGTGGTCAGTGTGTGTCATAGTGACCAGTCATTCCCAGTCGTTCTGCTGTTAGGGTCAATTTGCATATTACCCTTTTATTATATAGGATGTTATAACTATGAACTCAGGGAATATTGTTCCCATGAACCATTCCTGAGGAATCTAAACTAGAGAATGAGCTTTGACAATCCAAATGACTAAAGATTTATCAACACAGTGCTGGTGATGAGCATTGCATATAGTTTCTTATAGAAACTACATATGGTTAAAAGGGAAGGTATAATATGGAATGGCTGTATACTCAGACAATCTACAGTATTACTATTTTTTTTAATAGAGGAAGAATGAAGAAAGCACATTCAAAAAGCAAAATTTACTGTTTTAAGTAGTTACATTGGTGGTGGTGGTTATTCTGGGATAACTGTATGTGTAACGTGGGATAAAAGTAACAACAACCATGGAGCATTCTAATTCTATAGTCCCCTGCATCTTTGGAAACCAGAATACTCTGTTTGGAAGGAAAGAGACTTGAATACGGAAGAGATTTAGTAAAATTCCTGTAGCCCTGCATTTTAGTTGGAAATCATCAGTATGAATTCCTAATGTATATTATATTTTAAAAAATTGCTTAAATACCTAGGTCCATAATGATTCATTAAAACAAACAAACACACACACACACACACACACAACCTCTAGTTGGTCATATTTGAAGGTGATAGGGAACTGATTCATTACCCAATGATAAAGGGAAAGAATCAAGCATTTATCCTGTCTTTCCTAAATGAACTATATTTCTGAGTAACCAAATAGTAGGTGAGAAGACGTGTCTCATATTCCGACAAATAAATACGCATTATGAGATCAATAAAATCCAGACTAGGAGAATCTCTACAGGTTAATAGTCTGGTTTTTCAACAGCTAAGCCATAACTAAAAGAAAGGGATGGAGGGCGACCTCTAGTTAAACAGACTTAAAGAGACTTATCAAACGTTTTTAAATGGCCAAAGGCTAGAGTATCTAGAGATACATACTTGGTAGCTAAAACTATAAATAATGATAAAACTCCAGACAGTGTTTACTTTTCAGGAGAGTGGGTTATGATTAGGATAAAGCCTATGGACTGGCTTCTGATATGGCCAGCAAAGTACTATTCCTTGACCTGAGTGGGGTTACACAGGTGTCATGCATATAATTGTTCATTAAGCTACACATTTGTTTTATGTGGTTTTCCGTATCTGTTTTAGTTTCTAATAAAAAGACTTGAAAGAAAGTTATAGAATCCCCACTGCCTACAGAATAAAATTCAAGTTACCAAGCACAGAAATCCAAGCCTTTTGTGATCTGGTCCCAAATCATATTTCAACTTTATCTTGCCATGTTCGGACCCTCTTTTCAATACCTTAACTGCCACCACTCTCAGCAACCCTGACCTACCAACTACTCTCCCTTTTGTCATGCTCATTCACACCTGCTTTGGCAACTGTGCAGTTCCCTTTTTCTGATTCTTAAAATTCTACTCATCTTTCAAAGTCAAACTCAGAAGCTGCCTCCTTCAACCCTCAACTCAAGTTTCTTTCCTTGGGATTCCACAGCAAACCCAGCCTCTCTAATGTAAAACCTATTTCACTCTGCCTAGCATCGCTCACCCAGGACAGCAGAAGGAAGAGCACCAGAAAGACCTGAATTTCAATTCCACCATTTCATTCATTTAGAGAGCAAATATTTACTGAAATCCTTACTATGTGTAGCAGGGACTGGGCTAGGCATTAGGGATTCAACAGTAAACAAGTTAACCACAGTCTCTACCCTCATGGAACTTAAGTCTCATGGAGGATACTGAGAAGTAAACATGCAATTACAATGTAAAATGAGAAATGGTTCCAAAAGGAAGTACATAAAATAAGCCTCTGACCTTGAGAAGGGAGGGGAAAGATGGCTTCCTTGCAGTGAATGTAATGTATTTAAGCTGAGACTTCAAGGGTACAAATTAGCCACAATTCAAGGTGCATCCAGTTCTAGTGCTCACCAGCTGACCAGTGACTCTGAACCCCAGATCCTTATCTATCAAATGGGAAGCACACCATCAACCCCCTACAGTTTCTGTGAGGACCCAGCAAAATACAAGGTGCCCAGCTGGGAGGTGCTCAACAGAGGTCAGGGTTCTTTATTACAATACTGTATATCCGTTAAGCTCCTTCAGGACAGACTCACACCTAATTCATCTCTGCAACCACCAGCGCACCTAGCTGTTAAAGAAAGACAGTTCCCTAGGCTAGAAGCCCCTCACCTGAGGATGTTGATGCAACCATTGCCATTTGTCAGGAAGAACATGTTATTGTCATTGTTCCAGGAGATTTCATTAACCTCAAACTTGAACTGCTCCTCTGCTTTCGAACGATGTGTCTTGGCATCAATAAAGGTCACGACATCATCCTTGTTGCCTACGGCTATGGTCTGCCCATCGGGACTCCAACATATATTAATGTTCTCCCCTAGAAAACCAGATATAATCAGTAAGATCATCTGTTTGCCCAGAATCCTCAAGAAGTTTATTTTGTTATCCTAGAACAGTGGTTCTCAACCTTGGCTGCACATTAGAATCACCTGGGAATCTTTTTAAAATCCTGATTTCTGGGCCTCATCCTCCGGAAATTCTGTTTCTTTGTTATGGGGTGAGGCCACAACATTAGTCACAAAGGCAACTAGTGTGAAGCCATGGCCCAGGTGGCCTCAGGTTCAAAGACTTGGGGAAAGGGCTGACGCGAAAATTAATACACAAGACAAAAAATATAAATTTGAAAATTACGGGGGAGTCAGTTGTGAACCTAGTTCAAGCGACTAGACTAAGTTCCACTGAATTTCTGTTCCCATTTGTTTTTATTTACTAGAATACACAACTGCCTTTCAGGAATGCAAACAGACATATCAAAGGTGATTGTTTAGTAAACGGTAAGATTATCAGGTTGGGGGAGTTTGCTTTAAGCCATTGAGTCAGCAATAGGTAATAAAATGCAGATATTCACCCTGGAATATCAAAGACCCAATTCAGCCTTCTTACCAGACTTCTTCCATTTATATTAATTACTGTTGATCTTGGTTCTCAGCAAACTAGCACCTAAGAATCAGCAACTATGAGCCGGGCACATTCATCTACAAATTTCCCCATTTGGTCCTCACAATACTCTCTTTATTAGCAATTCATTACCCTTATTTTACAGATGAAGAAATGAAAGACAAGAGAGATGAGCCCAACTGTCAAAGCTAGAAGAGCCGCTAGATTTGGCTCCAACGCCTCTAATTCTCTTACACCAGCATTTCCCAAACTCCAGTCATTCACATGCCACTTTCACAATTTTTGTCCTCATCATGTAACAGCTATACTTTTCTTTAAAATTGACTCAAAAAATTTAATTTAGCTTTAATTTAGCAATAATTTTGATGAGCTGGTTCTTTTTTAATAGACATTAAAACATACATCCGATTTTTAATGTTCATCCACTTATGCATCATGGGGAAATGACTACATTACTCCACTTACAGGTCTGAGTCTTGTCAACAAAGTCCAGTGGCACACACTGAACACATCAATTAAAAATCTCATCAACTTTACCAATTCTCTAAGATGCATTATTTTTTTCATATTTTATTATCTATGATGCATTTTAAAATGCATCAAATGCATGTCAAAATTTTTGGTATACATTGTTATCTGGAAGCTTTATTTCCTTTCCTAATGGCACTTAAAATATTGGTGTATCTTATAACCAATGACATCTTAATCAATTAAGACACGGTAAATTACCTCAAGGTTTATAGGACGATACTGGTGAATAACAGAGTCTATAAAGGCACAGGTCATTTTCTTCCAGACCCCCAAGACCATCCAGCCTTCAGCCATCCTAGCCTGTGAGCAGTTCCGCAAATGCTCCACGTCTTTGCACACGCTGCTTGTTCCCTCCCAGAGCTGTCCTCCCCTCCCAACCCACCGACCACTCCATTCCTATGGCTGCTCTAAGAGTCTGCCCAAATTCTGTGAGGCCCTCCCTGGCTCCCCCAGGCAGACCTCAGCATTTCCATTCTGGGTACCCACTTTATAGAGTCTATAACATAGACAGCTCCATTCTAAGATGAACCATGTCATATTTTGTTAGATGATTATTTTTTTTTTTTATGCACTAAACTGCGATGTCCTTGCAGCTCAGGATGTCCCCTAACCAGCGCCAGGCCAGGCACAGAAAAGGTATTTGGAATATGCTTGTTGAATGAAGGTAAGTAACGTATCTTCCCATTGCCCCCTCTCCGAAGTCACCTTTAGTGTTCACAGTCGCGATGCACTTGGTAGTCCTCACATCCCAGATGCGAATGGTTTTGTCTCCGGACGCTGTGACGAAGAGGTCAGGGTTACTTGGATGCCAACACAGCTGGTCCACGCTGTCGCCATGTCCGCGGTAATTGTTTTCTTTGACCTGAAAGAACAAACTCCAGGTGTCACGTCACAGGTGTGTACCTGCCAAACGTGTGACTCCTTAACCTTATTCACGTGTAACTCCTTGACCTTATCGGACCAACAAAAATTTAGAAAATTAACATGAGTCCGGTGCTTCCACGCCCCTTCCCAAATCCCCCTGCCCTCCCTCCCCAGTCGCCCTGAACCACAGGAGGCTGGTTTCCACACCGACACCGTTGCTTCTGCGGGTCCTGGCCTTCCTCCTCCTTTCTGGTTTGCCACCTTCCTCTGCCACCAAGGTCCCCAGCCATCTGCTCAGTCCCACCGGAGGCCCTACCATGGTCCAAGGGGCCCTCCTCACCAGACAGGGACCCCACAACAGCCCGCCACTCCCCCCACACCAACCCTTCCCACCACTCCCACACCCTCCTCA